GCCGGCCAATGGCCGGCCGCTCAGCCAGCTTCGGCTTTCAGCACAGCTCAGCCGAGCCGATGCATATGCGTTCGGCTCGGCTGAGCCGCTCGGCCATGATCGGGAGCTGTACGGGCTATTGTGAATAAGCTACGGCCAGATCCTTCGGCAGCTTCGTGAATAGACCCCTTTGTGTTTCTTACTGGACTACATCAACCACTTAACCAGGGTGTTAAACCACCTTCCTCTCCAGGTCATTTTTCAGTACTCAGTGCTGAGGTGTTTTGACTGTAATTTTTTAATTTTTACTATATAAAAAAAAGAAGAAAATTAAATTTAAAAAAACCTGTTTATCCTAGTGTTATAAAACATTTATTTTTACACAATTTTTTGGTAAAATATAAAAGATGGGGTCATGGCAGCTAAATAATACCAAAAAAGTCAAGCCTTAAATTGTGTGCGCCCATGTAATCGCAGGGCCACAATAGATACCTTATGAGTCTACATAAAAGGCAAAATAATAAAGATAACAGTTCATAATTTAATAGTTATCTATTTCACAATTCTGTGTTAGGTGTGTGGAATAGGTGGTCTTGAAACGTAAAACAAAATATGTATTTCCTCACAGCCATTGCTCTGGGCTCTCTCATTCACCTGGAGAAGCTGTGGTTACCAGTGGGACGTGGAATGGCTCATGCTGCTAAACTAATCATTGAACAATTCCAGAAGCTTCCTAACCTAAAGTTCCTTGTCATGAAGGAGATTCTAGATGATGACAGCATTGCACTCTTAGGTGAGTTCCTGTTTTGGGTATACAGTATATGTGTACCTGAAATAGGATGCACAGCCATGTTTAGTGGGTTTTTAAAGGTGCTTAAAAGTATGATAGCAGCTTATGGTCACATGATGCTCTCCAGTAGTGATGGGCTCGGGCGTGTTCGCAGCTCCACGTGCCGAGCCTGCCAGGAAGCTGACAGCGCCGCAGCGCCAATCACAGGCACTGAGACATTTCCCGATCTCTGCAGCTGCCGACCGGGATAATGTCTCAGTAACTGTGATTGGCGCTGCGGCGCTGTCAGCTTTCTGGCGGGCTCAGCACGTGGAGCTGCGAACACGCCCGAGCCCATCACTACTCTCCAGTGCTACCTCCCTTTCTGGGCAACACTAAAATCCTGAGGACAGCTAAGCTCTATATTTTCACTATCCAGTATTTTTTTTACTTTTGATGGGTCACTACCGTGTTTCCCCGAAAATAAGACCTACCCCGAAAGTAAGACCTAGCACTATTTTTCAAGATTCCTGTAATATAAGACCTACCCCGAAAAAGACCTAGTTTGGTGGTAGCATGTGAGAGGGTAACTTTAAGAGCAGGCGAGATGGTATCAGCCTGCAGGGATATACTGTATTAAGGGGATGACAGGGGACTCCCTCCAGCCAGCGCAGTAACAGGGAGCTCTCCAGTACCATACTTCCCCAACTGCTGTCCCCCCGCTGTACAAAGTAAGGCTGCGGCGGCAGAGGGCTATACTTCCTCTATAGCGCTGGTTACTGTGACAGGCGGAGTGATTCCAGATAACTTTGGATTGTTGTACATTTTGTTGCACATAAAAAAAAAAGATAATATAAGATAAATAAGACATCCCCTGAAGATAAGACCTAGTGTGTTTTTTGGGGGGCAAAACAAATATAAGACAGTGTCTTATTTTCAGTGAAACACAGTAGCTAATGCTGAATGCCCTGTATCGCTGATGCCCAGCATCTAAGCATTGCTGGATGAAGGAATTAGGATTGCCAAAGTGATATAATTCATGCATGAAGTTTTTGTCAAGTAACTTTGAGCTCCCCAAGACTCCTCTGATGCAGTGAACAGGCTCCCAATTCCCAGAAAAGGAATGTTGCAGGCATCAAATATGGTTTTGTGTAGAGACACTCATTTCTGATTCATTGTAGCTAATGGCAGATCATGGAACACTTCTAAAAGACACACAAGTGATTCTATCCAGCAGTCTAGGAACGCCCTGAAATTCCCCAAAGCAAACATTTGCAGTGCCCTGCTAGGCTCAAAGAGAGTGATAACATTTCATGTAATACATTTGCCAATTTAACCTTATGCCTAATTTAACATTTTCACTTTTACAGGAACTGTAGCAAAGAAAGGCTGCTTGAGAAAGCTCTGCCATCTTGCGCTTCATTCCAGTTACAATGTGTCGGAATCTGGATGGAGAACATTTTTTGAAACAGCCGGAGACATGCCAGAATTAAGCCTCCTGAACGCGGCTAGAATAAACATGACTATGAAGTGTCATGCTACCACTGTCACTACCTTTGTACGCTTTGTGTCTAGACTACCTAGCCTGATGACCATATGGATGTTGGGGTGGCTTCTGGATAAAGACGATCTCAACATGTTTAACAGCATGAAAGAGAAGCACCCTCAGTCCAAGAGTTTAGAGGTTATTTGGCAGATGCCCTTTCCGTTTGCTCCAAACATTCAAGATTAGAAATGTGATATGAAAAAGAATTCAAGCAGAAATCCAGGCTACACTTTGTCTTAATACACATACCAGTGTATTCTCGATTAAAAAGTTTCTAAACCCTCCCGGTTTTTTGCCTATATCTACTGCTATCAAACAGTTTAAAAAAACAAAAACCGCTAAAACAGCGGTTTAAACTTAATTATTTTTCTGTGCGTGAGCCCGCGCCGAGAATCAGGAACTGCTCGTATGGCCGCAAAGGATCTTGGGGCGGGCGCATGCGCAGTTCCGATTCTCAGCCGGGAGACGAGCAGAGACGCAAGGTAAGTCTATGGACGCGTGCACCTGCATGCAGACACCGCTGGATCGGAAGTGCCAGCAAGCAGAGAAGTGTCAGCGCGGGATCGGAGAGCCGCCGCACCGCTGGAGGGACAGATGAAAACATCAGGAAGGAAGAAGAAGATCGGAATAAAAGACATCATTTAAGGTAAGTGCTGACATTAACATGGGGGGGGAGGGGAAAAAAAACTTGACTTTAAATCTTGGTGTCCTTTGCGTACATCTTCTGCAAAAGTGCTGTAATCCAGCATGCAACAACTCCTGCCCTTAGCCTATGCATAAGGAGTTTCCTGTAATATAGAGCAGTCATTGACATCTCTTTTTTGTATACCGTGACTGGTCTTGTATCCGCTGTATTTTTGACAGTCAGTGTGTAGTGGGTGGACCTGCTGGGTCCCACCCTTACTGTAGCTGTGCTTTCTGCACAGCCTATAGGCAGTACAGTGACATCACCACTACCTTTACAAGGTAATATCTGGGTTGTGGCTATTAAGGAATATAGTTAAATGAATGTTTTTATGTCCGGAGTTCAGCTTTAACATAAGTAAGCAAAGGTACACAATTCCTTTCCAGATGACTTTTTCTGTATTTATATTTTGGCCCTACAGCTGACGGTTACCGAATCTTGTATTTGCTGCCTGTCTGAAGGTAGTAGTGCAGTTGTTATAGGCAACAATATAGCTGTATGTAGATCTGTCCATTATACATCCATCCATCATTCTCAGTGTCAGTATGAATGTACCCGCAGGTACAGAAAAATCTCCCAAAAGACCAGAGAATAACAGATCTGAAGAACACATCCACTTTCCTGAGAACACTGGAAAATTACTGAGGCATTTTGGTGGTGGGCAGGGTATTTCTGTGCTAGCACACAGCTTTTTCGCTGGCAGTGTTCATTTCTCCTGTAGGTGGCAGTATAACCCAACAGTATAAGAGTTCTAACATTCCCCGTGTCCCTCAGTGTACGAGAAGGAAACATATACTGTATAATTGTTTTAAAGCGCGTCATAGCAGAAGGGGACTGTGTTTGGCAGGATGCAGTCTTAGTCTGAGAGTGGAATGAGGCAATTTTTATTTTGATTTACATCATTATTTTAATTTTGGTTATGTTCCTGTTTTTGATTTTGCGTTATATGTATACTAAATTTGAAGTATACAGTTTATTACCGTTTTATGGTTACTTTTTGCCTTGCACTTTCTGGTTGTACACTTTATTCATGGAAGAGCGAGTCAGTGTAAGCCACGAGAAGTTTATTCCGGAAAATATATAGAACTTTATGCTTCTTAACCACTGTTTTGCATCATAGGTCTCATTGTATGCAGGTTGTGGTGCTTGTTCATGACTACAATTGTGTGCGATCGTTCAGATAACTATATAATTTCGAATCAATTATTATTAATACTGCATTGTTCTGATACCAATACTCTGTAATATTGTATTACGTGGATAACAAACAAAATAAAAAAATGGTTATGCCAAAAAAAAAAGCATCATAGCAGATTAGATTTTCTCCATGTGAAGATTATCAAGATAATCAATAAACAGCATTTTCAAATATGTCAGAAATCTATAAATGTAAAAATACACCTGCTGGTGATTACAAGGTTCTGGTGCCACAAGGCTACATTAGCATTTTTGCAAGAAAATCCCCTCATTTCTTTCTGAGCACTCCTTGCTGCTCAGATAGGTCTCCAGGTTTCTGGGCCTGGGCCTATACCATTTCTCTCCTCATGTACTATCCATCAGTAGGATTGATAAGTTGCCCATTATCATGAGTTGTCTTTATACAGGTAGGGAGTGTCTTGAAAATCTGGTAATATACACTGAGTGGCCAGATTATTATGACCACCCCATCAGTACTTCGTTGGGCCGCCTCGTGACTCCACGAGATGTTGAAAGGTTATTCGAGGAATCTGACACTGCACTGTTGCCCTTCTGTTGTCTTATACCAGTCTTGCCACTCTCCGTTCTGCCCTAACATTGACAAGTCGCTGACGGCCACAATTCGCACGTTCAGACAGAGATTTTCGGCTGACAGTCTAGTCTTTAAACACTTTACAATGAGCCCCTCTTGAACTTTTAACAAATTCTGCTGTTTTGCTGATACTGGCTCTGAGCGCCAACAATCATCTCACGTTCAAAGGCTGTTAAATCGCGTTGTTTACCCATATCTTCAGAAAAAAATCACTTCTACTGTCGTGGTAACCTGCTTCCCTATTTATAATGGTCTGGCCCTCTAGCAACTTCAGCACACAATTATAGCCAATTATAGTTAATTTACCTACAAACGTCAGGTGGTCATAATAATCTGGCCACTCAGTGTATATTTCTTTTGTGGATGAGCTTTTCTTATGGATTTATTTTTATGATACTATTGGTATTTTAGAGATTTGTGTGCTATGTGACAATATTTCTACATACACACATTTTTGTTTAAAATTGATAACATTACTGGCATTTTAGTGCTCATGATCTGGATGGTATTAGACCAGGGTTCTAAATCAAAGCCTTTGCTGGTCATTTTTTGTATTCAAGGTTATTGTCCTATTTGGATACAAGGTCCTTTTTGGTTTTAAATGTTTATTTGGGGGTGTGGATTTTTTTTTTTTTTTATTGTAGTGGGAGATGTGAAAAATGTTAAAGTGACATTAAAAGTAAAAAATGTTTTCCCTCCCCCCAATGTTAATGTTAGCACTTACCTTAGATGAGTTCTCTTAATCCGATCTTCTTTCCTGATGTTTACATCTGTCTCTCCAGCGCTGCGGCGGGTGTCCGATCCAGCGCTGACTCCTCTGTCCTCGCTGGCACTTCCTGCCCCACGGAGTCTGCATGCGAGTGCACGCGTCCACAGACTTACCTTGCGTCCCTCGTCTCCCGGCCGAAAATCCGAACTGCGCATGCGCCAGCCCCAAGATGCTTTGCGTCCGCCCGAGCAGTTAGGACGGGAGCGTGCGGCGAAGACAGTAGCAAGTTTAAACCGTGTTTTTGTTGTTGTTGCATAGATCTACTGCCAGAAGGGTTTCTTTGGAGTGGTGTATTCATTTCACTTGCTTGCACACTCAGCAGCATTGCTCTTGATGTGATGCAAGGCTACATCGCCGACCACCTAGCAATTATGTACATTAATCTGGCTATCATATTCCCATGGCCAACAGGTGAGACAGCACAGACACAAAAAGCATACCACCCCTCCTATTACACTCCTGTGCTAGGCTTGGTATCACATTATCAATCTCATAGCAGCACCAGGAATGTTGGAATAATAATGAGCAATACATTCTACACATATACAGTACAGTACAAAAATATTCTCCCTTATTTCAGTGGCACCTTCTCAAGTTTGCATTATATATATATATATATATTTAAAAAAAAGAAGAACAAAGCGCAGAAACAAACAGAGAATTGACAAAATGAAAGTTTTATTATTTCATTACAAAACTTATTACTTATCAAAAACAATTTTCAACAAACCGAGAAGTCACAATAAACAGAGCTTTGGAGAATAACAAAATCATGAAGGCTTTCATGTAGAACAGAGCTGTTTGGCTATAAAATCAAGGTAATATTTCTAAACCAACCAGGAGAAAAAAAAACAATCAAACATGAGGCTTAAATGATTTGTCCATTTTGTAACCACTTTCCCATCTTCCTCCTCTACAACCTGCTTCTGCATCACCTTGTCATGATGTTCTGGCTTACTGAATCGGCTGCTACGCTAGGGTATTAGAGATGATTGAAAGGAACACAAAATGCCATGATTAACAAATGCATTGTAATAAATTTTATTTGCAGCATTTTAAAACAAGTGTCTTTTTTTATTAAACAGACTGAAATAAACTCAAATACACAGACTAAATACAAGTTACGTAAAACATATTGCTATATGGCGACAGTTGTATGCATCAAATGACAGCAACAGTTCAGAAAGATGTCTTCATGTCTCCGTTGCCCAGAAGCAGGTCCTCTCCCTAGGAGAGATGTTGCCTGTGATCAGGTAGAACAAATAAAAAGATTATAACATTATTAAAAGAAGTTATTCAAAATATATGGAGTACGTCTAAAAGGACTACACTAGATGTTACTTATGTGCCAAGGTTCCCTTCTGCTGAGGTTTGCTCTCCAAAGTTGAGAAATACTTAACGGCTTGTAGGGTTTAATGGACAGTATGGGGAGAATACAAATATACTCTGGTGTATGGAGTTAGTGCCAAACATACGGCAATAAGATGTGGCACTATTGTGCCATGTTGCACTGCAAATGATTCCAAGTGCTGGTGTAAACAATCCGGGGTTTCCAAAGGTTCAAACTACAGCTCAATTATGTTCAACCTGCGTTGAGCTAAATGGACTGAAAACATGAACACTGAAATAATGATATCTCTGCAACCTATATTTGTTCATTCACCAAAGGTGTGTACTGTAATACTAATACAGACATACATTTTGATAAGAAAAGTCAGTCTCCACACAGTTATGTTCTATAAAATTGGTTTATAGCGAGCACAATAAACACCCTACACATGATACACTTTCAGGAAGCCAGGTTGTGAGTCATTAGACACCACCTGGCTTCCTTAAATGGGACTTCCAGTACCGGCAAGTAAGGGAAAAAAAATATCAGTACTCTATACAGAAAAAACGGTATCGGTGCATCCCTAATTTTAAACTGAGGCTAATTGTAAACTCACTCACATGCTGATGAATTTATATTTTCTATTTGGGTTGTGGATATTTTCCATATGAAGCTTCCATCCGACTTTGCTTTAAACCCTGAAAAACAAGGACACTTCATATACAAGCAAGAAAAGTAAAAAGGAAACAAAAAACACATAGCTCTGTGCACTGTCTCTCTTGCTAAAACCCCAATGAAAGCAGCCAAATACCAGCTTTGTATACCACAGGATGATAAAATAGATAGAGCTAGATGAAAGGGAAAGATGCCCTGTATGTCATATACTGCACAGACCAGCTAGACTGAAATGGGCCCTTAAAGTGATACTGGTAACTAAGGCTACATTGATAACTCATTGTATGGACAATGTATGTTTGGACATTTGCACGTTTTACATGCATTTTGATTGATACCTATGGAAGGTGCGTTTTGGGGCAAACACCACCAAGCAGGATTTAATGCCCTGAACCGAATCGTTGAAGTGTGAATGCAAACCAAGCTTATCTTGAAATAATTGGAGTCAATTAGTAATATTAATTCCTAACATGCTAATTATGCATGCGCTCTGTATCTGTCTCTCACTGTAAATAAAGTTTCAGAATTAAATGAATGCCAATTGTGTGGAGTAATTATTTCAGGGCTGCAACGAATGATTATTTTCATAATCGATTAGTCGGCCCTTTATTTTTTCAATAAATCAGATTTAAAAAAATAAATGCCATCCTTAATTTCAAATAAAATACACAAATGCAGTGTTGCAAACAAAGTTTACTCCAGAATAAAACCGCATGCACATCTTTTTTTCCAATCACACTGCAACGGAACGATCAGCATTGCAGTACCGTGCGTTCCAGTGCGGGCGATCACACGGGAACTGTTAGTGGGAGGTGTGTTTGAGGTGCCATTGAAATTAATGGAACTGCAACACACCTCCCGCAGCAGAATTTGTCAGGCTGAAGCTATTCAAGCACATGGCGCTTGAATAGCTTCAGCTGAGGAATGACAGCTGCCAGTGGCAAGATTCCACAGACAGCAGCGGATTGTAAATACAGCAAGCAGTGGTCGGGTGCAATAGCCAGCCTGCTATTGGCCATTTCAGATGCAATAGCCAATAGCAGGCTGGCTATTGCACCCGCCCACTGCTTGCTGTGCCCTCTTCCCAGTGTGGAGGAAAGAGATAGGGGATCCAACCAACTAATCGATAATGAGAATAGTTGACAACTATTCTCATTATCGATTATTTGGTTGCAGCCTTAAATTCTTTAGATCAGGGGCCTCAAACCTCCGGCCCTCCAGCTGTGGTGGAACTACAAATCCCATGAGGCATTGCAAGATTCTCACAGCCACAGGCATGACTCCCAAAGAGAGATGCATCATGGGATTTGTAGTTTCACCACAGCTGGAGGGCCGGAGGTTTGAGACCCCCGCTTTAGA